AAAAGATTGACACCCCATATCTGATCACAATTTTTCAGAGGAGTTCATTTTATAATTTGTGCAATCTCAACATTGCTTGAGAAGATAAGGAAACACATGGGAAATGAGGCTAATTTTGCTCTGCTCAAAGCTGATTAGAATAGTGAGTTTAGCTGCCTTTATCAGAACTGTCACTCTGATAAACATGATATTGAAGCTTTTGTGACAGCTATGATAATAGGTGGAAGGTATTGCCTGACTCACTTTACTTCAACAAAGTAGAATGTATATATATGTAAATAAAATATTAGAATAAAAAGGGAGAAGTACCATTAAAAGCATATAAATAAATTAGAAACTATTCAGCACAAGGAGCAAAAAGGCAAGAAACACGTTAACTTTGAATGTTCATTATCGTGAATTATTATAAGGGGGGGATGAATGAATATCCTTTGTGAACATAAGGTAACTCCAATTGAAGCATAAGAAGTTAAAAGTAGTAAAGGGAAATGGTTACCTAAATAAGAGGGTTACTCTGCTCTATAGAATTCCCTTTGAAGTTTTAGGATCAATTTTACTCATGAAGAATGACTTAGGAATAAGCCTGTCAAAGATAAAGTTGGAAGCAGAGACTTCAAGAGCCCTTCCAGCCTTCAATTCAGGGTTGTATTTCATTAGCCTCTCTCTCCTAATACAAAATACAATGTGGATGTTCCTGGACAGTGAGTGGCCCACTGCGTGGTCATTCAGAAACCCAGGCTTCTTCCATTTTGTGGCTCCACCATCCTCTAGAGCCTCAGAATTCTTTGCTGAATCTTCTGCATCCAGCCAGCAGAGAGGATAGAAGATCATATGAGCCAACCAACGTCGAAATGGCAAATGTCAATTAGGTAGGCCTGCCACATTCCATTGGCAAAACTGTCACACAGCCACATCTACCCAAAATAGTGTCTTGGAAATATAGTCCATCCATGTGTCCAGAAAGTGGAGAGAACAGGGTTTGGTGAATACAATACAGTCTTTACCACAGTTCAACAAATATCTGCTGAAAGCATGTGATGTGTGCATCCTGCTGGGACCCAATAACAAGGCGACTCCCTGCCTTTGAGGTACAAGTGAACAATTTCACAACAGTATGGTAGGAACAAGGGGCATAACAAGCACAGTATATGTGGAAACTTAGAGGACAATACTTAGCCCAGCCTAGAGAAGTCTTGGAAGGCTTCCTGGTAGAGGAAACACTTGTGCTGAGTCTTGAGGATAGGTAGAAAAGTGGGAGAAAGAGGGGAAGGTATTTTAGACAGAAGCAACAATTGGGATAAAAAGTGTGGAAGAGAACTATAAGCCATTCGATATTATCAGAATGTAAAGGAATGAGCAAGGAGGACAGGTGATGAAGCTGCAGGAGCCTTCTATAGAGAGCCCGGTATGTTATGTAGAAGTATTTGCACATTTTAAATAAGCAATGGGGAAAAAATGGGAGATTTAAAAGAGAGATTGGTATATGAGCAGCCATGCATTTAATAGAGGTCACCTTGGTAGCTGTATTCAGTATGGCTTTGCCGGTGGCAAGACTTAGGTAACAGTTTGGAGCCTTTTCCAATTGTTTAGGCAGGAGATGATAAGGGCTTAAACTAAGCTGTGCAGGAAGAATCAATGTAAGAAATATTAATGACTTAAAATTGGGAAGATTGTTAATTGTTATACGTGAAACTTTAAGGAAAAGAAGGAAACTGAAATGGTCCCAGGCTTCTGATTTGGGTAACCTTGTAACTTTCCTTGTCATTAACTGTATTAGTCCATTCTCACATTGCTATAAGAACTACCTGAGACTGGGTAGTTTATAAAGAAAAGAGGAATAATTGGCTCATCATTCCACAAGCTATATGGGAAGCATGGTTGCGAGGCCTCAGGAAACTTACAATGAGAGCAGAAGGCGAAGGAGAAGCAGGCATATCCTACATGGCAGAACCAGGAGGAAGAGAGAGAAGAGGTGGGTGCTGCAGACTTTTAAACAGCAAGATCTCATGAGAACTCCCTCACTATCACAAAAACAGAAAGAGGCAAACTCGCCCCTGTGATACAATCACCTCTGACCAGGCCCGCCCTCCAACATTAGAGATTACAAATTGACATGAGATTTGGGCAGGGGCACAGATCCAAACCATATCATTAACTGACAGAAAAACACCTATAGAGACATAGGTGTAGGGGGAAGATGAGTGCAGTTTTGGGAAGTTGTCCAGCTATTTATTGTAAACTTAGGGGCATACTGCATATAGAAATGTTTGCTCCTCTATCCTTTGGGAACAGTAATACATTCATAACATGCTACATGTAAAAAGGACTCCTCAGGGTGGCCAACCTTAGGGTAGAGGTTGTATGGTAGTGTATTTCTCCTTCATAAAAGTGGGAAAATAAACTTAGTGGCATAAAAATACCACCAATTTACTGTGTTCATGGATTCTGTGGAGTAGGAAGTTGGACAGGGCTCAGCAGGGGTGATTCATCTCTGTTCTACAATGTCTAAGGCTTTGGTTGGAAAGAGTCATATGGCTGGGGGCTGGAATAACTTGGAGATTTCTTCACTCACTGCTGGGGCATTGGTGGAGAGGACTGAAAGGCTGGCTTTGGCACTATCGAATGTCTAGCAGCATTCCTAGCCTCTAGCCACTGGATACAAATAGCATCCCACCCACCCAGCAGTAACAACCAAAATGTCTCCCTGACACTGCCAAATTTATCCTGTGGGACAACTGTCTCCTGTGATTGAGGTCAGTGGGGTATATGAGTCTGAAACTTAGCCAGGACTGGAAAGAGATTTTTCAAGTCATCAGTGTGTAGGTGGTCTTTAGAGTCACTGTAATATATGAGATGTCTCAGGATGTAGGGTGAGAAGACCAGCGCTTCAAGGTGAGAAGGATGGACCCATATTGAAGGGGTTGAGGAAAAGAAGATAAAGCATTAAGAAAAATAAAAAAGAAAAACTGTGAGAGAGAGTAGGAAAACCAAGAAAGACAGAAAAGACTGGTGCAGTGGCTATTGCGAGTGCCTGCCTAGCATCCTATCTCCACTTTCCACTTAGAGAAGCTCAGTCTCTTGACCACAATGACTGGTGATTTCATCCATCGACCTACACAAGCCAAGCCATAGAGTCCTTCCTGTGATTTTATATTTTAAGCCACAGAGTAAGGTGTTTTTTTTTTTTTTTCCTCTTCTGTCCTTATCTGAAACTATGTAAATCCCAAAGTCCCTATGGTGTGCTCCCTGCCACATGGCAAAGGTTCAGCTGAGTGCGTTTAGAGATGCCATGAGTTGAAAATGACCACCTGTCCCTTGCAGCTCAGGAAGAGGCTCTTAAGGGAAGTTGGTGGGAGCATTAATGCCTGAAGCGGATTTATTGGGCTCCTAAGTCATCTTTACTTCGAAAGTTATCTCAGAATTTTGTCCACTAGTGCTTCTTTGTGAAACTTCCAAAGACCAGGAAACCTGCACCAAAAAAGCATCCCTTCCACATTGTGTCTTGCTTCTGACTTCTGAGCTAAACAAGCCATGAACCTGTGCCAAATATGCACATATGTAGTGGGTGAGCTGTGTGGGGGGTTTGATCAGAAGCAAGCACCTGAACACACTATATTGCACAAGTGTGTTACAGTTTCATCTGCAGTAGAAGACAATGAAACCAGCGGCAGAAGGAAGCAAAATGGAGAGCTGAGAAAGAACAACTTTTTGGTAGCATTTAAGATCCTGGATCCAGTCATCTCTGAAGCCTCAGATCCAGCCATGACCTTCCAGTTGTGTGGATCAATAAATGCTCTTAAGTGGAATATCTTTCTGTTGCAAATGCAAGTGTTCTATTACAGAAACTAAAACCAGGTGTGAAGTGATAACCCTAAAATGTGGAATTGGTTGAATCAAGATAGGGAAGGTTGAAAAGCTGTAATCCTTGTTATATGAAAGTGAAGCAGCTGCTACCTAGTGTATTTTATGCCTCAGACAATGTCCCCACCACCATAATTACAAGAACATTATGGACTTGGTCAAAAGGATATGGGAGTGAGAACTGAGACAGGCATATACCCCGGAGCCCTCCCAAACACCTCAGCTACTGCATTCCCTACCCAATAAGGCTCATAATCCTGCCCCATAATCAGCTTTGATGCTCCCTGGTGATGGAAATCAGCTCCCAATTGTTCCGTTTTTCTAAGAGGTGGAGACAAGGATAGATGACATTAATCTAAAGCCCAGAGGAATTGGATGATTCCTGCAATTGTTGCTAAGGGACTGAAACCACAAGGGCAAGGAGCCAGATTCAGAAATGCTGACTCAGCAAGATTTTTGGCACTTGTAAGTAGCCAGCCAACGTTGCCAGCCACCCAAAATTATATAATTGGGCCAGCGACTGAGTGTTTCAAGTGAACTTTATTGCCCCCTTGGCAAGCAGAGATTATAATTATGATTGTTCAGTTCTTAAGACAGCCCTCCAAGAGTCCTTACAACAAAAAGTGGGTTGCTAAAGCAGTAGAGACCTCACCGGAGGAAGTTTCCTGACCATCCTCTTAAGCATGGTGACAAAGTCAATGAACAGGGGAGACTCTCGCAGCAGGAAGGCCCTGGAGCACCCAGATAGACTGACTAGGAACCCACTCCATGGCAAAAGAAGGGAGTAAACAGAGAGACAGGTCTCACTCTTCCTGTTTACCAGCCTAGGGGATGTTTTGTCCTCTGTAACCTATTTCTAAATGTGGCAGAGCCTGGCTTCTCTTCCTTCTCTACCAACTTCTTTTCATATAAGGGCTACCATCTTATTTCTAGCTTTAGGTAAGTCTTCTATTCCTCTGTCTGCTTAACAACTATAGCAATCATACATATAACCTACAGAAAGTGAAAAGCCCATTATCACACAGGAACCATCTCCCTACTCTAATCCTTGAGGGGGCCTGGCAAAAGCCCATACTCATGTATATAAAAGAGCTGTCATTTAAGGTAAGGGTAACCACAGAGACAGCCATGAAACCAAAAAGATTTTATGTAATGTTTATTTTTTTAATTCCCATCCTAACTTTGGCTTTAATCCTTACCTCTCATTTCCATTCTTTTCTTTGAAATTCAAACTTTTTTTAAAAAAACAAAGTGTTTAAAATCACAATTATCTAGAATCATAATAAAATTTTCTTGTCTCCAAAGAGGGGGAAAACACACCACTTTTATTTTTATGCAGCATTTTCAAATATGCATGTCAATATATATTTTATAAACTATTTAAAATAAAAACCCTTCATCCTTTGAGGTTATTGACATTTTCTAGTTCACTGACACATCTCCCATAATACAATAGTTGTATTCATTTTTCATGAATGAGATGGGAACTATACTAAAAAATAGGATTTTAATCCCTGAGGTGCCAGTTAAAATGGACGGCGTTGCCCTTGCAAAACGAGATTTTAAAAATCAGCCTTAAATAATAAGCATGGATCACGCTATTTGACTCCGAATCACCTCCATAGCATGGAGCCCATTTAGGAAATTGCATTTATTGGGTTAAGTTCACCCTGCTATTCCAAGCCCTCATGCTATAATGATCTTTCCTTTTGCAAAGGAATAACACATAGCAAGGAAGTCTGCAGAAACTTCTGAGATCCTCAGAAATCAAGAGAAACCGAAGTAGCGTTTCTCCGATCTCCATCCACAGTGTTGGAGAGGGTTTTTCAGCACCATTCCAAGACCTGGAAGATTGATGAACTGCTTTGATTTTTCTACTTCTCCATACATTTGGCTAAAAAGGAGCAATCCCCCTGGCTAGAAAAGGGGCATGTCCTGGTTTTTCTCTGAAATCACAATATTAGCAGAGCTGGGTTCAGTTCCTTGTGTCTACTGTCCCTGCAGATCCTCTCCCTTCCAGGCGGCCTCCAGTGGTTTCCGGGGTCCTGCTGCTCCCTAATAGTAGCGGTTCAGGCTCCTGGTCCCGGGCACCTCAGGCTGGCCATTCATCCAGATCTCCCTGATGATGCGCTCGCGCTCCTCCAGCCGCTGGGCGCGCTCCAGCTCCTCCGCGGAGGTGAACACGTTCTTGTTCAAAGTCCTCTCGAAGCGGCGGTGTCTCCGCACGGAGAGATCGGACGCGGTGTCCTCACTACCGTCCTCGCTGTCGCTGCTGTCGCTGCTGCTCTCTCTGTCCTGCAGGAACTTCTTCTTGGGACGCCGCCTGCAGTCTGTGTGGCAAGAGATCCTTATCACCAAAGCAGCCAGAGTCAGCACCAGTCCAATGCACACACCAGAAACAAAGTACAGAGCTGCTCGCTCAGGATTTTCTGGAGGAAGAAGAGGAAAAGCAAGCATTTCAGAGATGACAATTCCACATGCAGAGATCCAATATGACTCCAGCCTACACCTCTCACCAGGCTCCAAAGTTTTGACGGTTACAAAATATTGTCCTCCCATGTGACATATTTTATAATGTATTCAAAATATAATTGACAAACGGTGAATCTGTAAAAGTATATGAGATTCTTTCACTCTTCTTGCAACTTTGACTTAGAGATTCTTCCCAAATAAAAAGGTAAAAGAAAGAGAAACAGTAATTATTTAGCACCTACTGTACACAAGCAGCTTTGCTTAGGTGTCATTTGTTTAAGAGATGTATCTTATCTAAAGCCTCTTTTCACCTAGACCAAAACCTCTTTACTTGTGAATTTGCTCATGCACCCCAACTGAATTACCCTTTCATCACAGTCGCAGACAGCTTCTGAGATGAACCCCATCTCCTAGTATTCACACCTTTGTGAAATCCTCTCCTCTTATGGGGTGTACCTAGTGACTTACTTCTAAGAAATACATGCTCTGGTTTCTCTTCATAATGAATAAGTCTTTCGCCTTTTACTTCTAAGAAATACAGTTGACCCTTGAACAACATGGGTTTGAACTGCACAGGACACTTATACACGGAGTTTTTTCAAACAAACATGTGGATCGAAAATACGTTATTTGCGAGATGAGAAATCCACAAATAAGGAGTGTCAGCTTTTCAAATATGTGGCTTCTGCAGGGTCAACTGTAGAACTTCAGTATGCATGCACGGATTGGGGTATACACAGGGATGCTGGAGCCAATCCCCTGCATATACCAAGGGTCGACTGTAGGATATGGCAAAAGCAATGGGTGATTCTAAGATTAGGTTACATAAGACTGTGATTTTTGTCTTGTTCTCTTGCTCTCTCCCTCTCTGGGGCTCTTCTTACTTGCTGGTTCTGATGAAGCCAGCTGCCATGTGTGAGCTGCCTTATGGAGAAATCCAAGTGGCAAGGAACTAAGGGTGACCTCTGGCCAACACCCTTTGAGGAACTGAATGGTGCCAACAGCCATGTGAATGAGCTTGGAAGTGAATCATCCCTCCATCTAGTCTTGAGGGGACCACAGTCCCGGCCTTGCAGCAGCCTGTGAGAAACCTTGAACCAAGGATCCCAGCTAAGCCACACTCTATTTCTGATCTGCAGAAACTGGGAGATAATAAATGTGTTCTGTTTTCAGCCACTAAGTTTTGGGGTAGTTTTGTAAAAAGCAATAGTTGCAATCAGTCACACACTGAAAGCCAGTATAGGTAATTAGGAGTGGCCTCAGCAGGTTAACTGATAGGGGAGGAGAAATTTGAGCTCTTTCCTTGGTGAGAGAAGATAACAGTCATTCTGTTGACGATCAGTATGCTTAGTGAGCCTAGTTGTGACCCCTGTAAGATGTGCTTAACAGAATGGGAGTCTTTAGGTGAACAACTTTCATTTCTAGGTACCTACCAGGACAAAGGAACAGGCCTGGCCTTGAGGACACTGTACCCAATGGGTAGTCTTTTATCCCTCACCTGCCTCCCACCCATTTCCCCTGAGTCCCCAGAGTCTATTATATTATTCTTATGCCTTTGCGTATATTTGGACAATTTTTGTAGGTTCTGGAAATTCAAAGACTTAAATAAGATTCAGTTCTTGCTCTCAGAATGCACCTAGTCTACTGGGGAGACAGATGAAAGCAATGGACAGAAAATAAAATAATGGGCTGTTAATGATGGAAGCACATTGTGGGGGCAACCGGCCCTAGGAGAGAGGGAGTCATGGGGGCATTTTGTGAGCATGAGGATGAGATGGAGACACTTGGACCAAATGCTAGGACGATTAGGTAAATTCAAGCCTACTGAAGACCAATGTGTTCCCCCTTATATGGCAAGTCAACACTAACCTACATGCTGGTCTAGTGGCTTGTTCCAGGTCACGTTCACAAAGGTAACGGCATTAAGTTGTGTTTTCTATTTCTGTGTGCTACTTATTAGGATTCTTTTCAATTCAGACACAAAAACTTCATTTCGTTTCACCCTGGTTCCAGATTGTTAAGATTTTTTATAATCTTGATGTCATCATCTAAATTAATCTCTCTGACTACACATTGGGTACAGTGTACACTGCTCTGGTGATGGGTACACTAAAATCTCAGAAATCACCACTGAAGAACTTATCCATGTAACCACAAACCACCTGTACCCCCAAAACTATTGAAATAAAAAGAAAAGAAAAAACTATTGTCCAAATATGTTCCTAAAATTTCATGAAATCCATGACATCATCAGCCTCAATCTTTAAAATAGCCCACTTTCTTTCTTCTCCACCTTTCCTCCTTTGTTGGTTGTCTTTTATGAAATAAAAGGCAGAAGTAAAAAGAGGTACTGTTACATCCCTAGGCCACATGACAAGGTAGAAAGGCCCAAGCAAACAAACCCAAGTCTGCCCAGTTTCAAAGCCTATTCCCTTCTCATCATTTCCTGGTGCTTCCATGGCATCAGTGTCAATGCTGAGGGGCCATATATTACACAAGGCTGTTGGGATGATCGGTGTAGATAATGCATGTGAAAGTGCTTGGTAAACGTCCCTTTCTGGGTAAATAAAAGGTGGTCTTGTAAGATCTAGCTAGAGCAATCAAGCAAGAGAAAAAAATAAAAGGCATCCAGATAGCAAGAGAGGAAGTCAAACTATCACTCTTTGCAGACAATACAATTCTATACCCAGAAAACCCTAAAAACTTTGCCAAAAGGTTCCTCAAACAGATAACTGACTTCAGCAAAGTTTCAGGATGCAAAATCAATACAAAATCAGTAGCATTTCTATACACCAACAATGTCCAAGCTGAGAGCCAAATCAAAAGGTAATTTCATTTTAATTGCCATAAAAATAATAAAATACCTAAAAAATAGCTACCCAAGGTGAAGGATCTCTACAACAAGAATTACAAAACACTGTTGAAAGAAATTAGAAATGTCACAAACAAATAGAAAAATACTCCATGCTCATGGATTGAAAGAATCAACATTGTTAAAATGGCCATACTGCCCAAAGCAATTTACAGATTCAGTGCTATTCCTATCAAACTACCAACATCATTTTTCACAGAATTAGAAAAAAAAATGATTCTAAAATTCATATGGAACCAAAAGAGGGTTCAAATAGCCAAAGCAATCCTAAGTGGGGGGAAAAAAAGAAAAGCCAGAGGCATCACACTACCCAACTTCAAGCTATATTGTAAGGCTGCGGTAAGCAAACAGTATGGTAGTGGTACAAAAACCAACACATGGACCAATGGAACAGGATAAAGAACCCAGAAATAAAGCTGCACACCTATAGCCATCTGATCTCTGACAAAGTCAACAATAACAGCAAAGGCGAAAAGATTCTCTATTTAATAAATGGTTCTAGGATAACTGGCTAGTTATATGCAGAAGATTGAACCTGGACTCGTTCTTTTTACCATATACAAAAATTAACTCAAGAAGGATTAAAGACTTATGTGTAAGACCTAAAACTATAAAATCTCTAGAAGAAAACGTAGGAAATACCATTCTGGACACTGGCCTTGGCAAAGAATTTATGGCCAAATCTCCAAATGCAATTGTGACAAAAAGAAAAACTGACAAGTGGGATCCAACCAAACTAAAGAGCCTCTTCACAGCAAAATAAACTATCAACAGAGTAAACAGACAACCTACAGAATGGGAGAAAATATTCCTAAACTATGCATCTGACAAAGTCCTAATATCTAGAATCTATTTTAAAAACTTAAACAATTGAGTAAGCAAAAAATAAACAACTCCATTAAAAATGAGCACAGGACATGAAAAGACACTTTGCAAAGAAGACACACATTCGGCCAACAAATATACGAAAAAATGCTCAACATCACTAATCATCAGAGAAATCACGATCAATATCAAAACCACAACGAGATACCATCTTGCATCAGTCAAAATGGCTATTACTAAAAGTAAAAAAATACCATGTTGACAAAGTTGTGCATAAAAGGGAACACCAGGCTGGGCATGGTAGCTCACACCTATAATCTCAACACTTTGGGGGCTGAGGCAGGCAGATCATTTGGGTTCAGGGAGCTTGAGACCAGCCTGGGCAACATGGTGGAAAACTCATCATTACAAAAAACACAAAAATTAGCCAGGCATGCTGGTGCACACCTGTAGTCCCAGCTACTTCTGGGGCTGAGGCAGGAGGATCGCTTGAGCCAGGGAAGTAGAGGCTGCAGTGAGCCAAGATTGTTCCACTGTAATCCAGTCTGGGTGACAAAGTGAGATCTTGTCTCAAAAAAAAAAAAAAAAAAAAAAAAAAAAAGTAGGAATTATAAATTAGTTCAGCCCCTGTGGAAAGCAGCATGGAGATTTCTCAAAGAACTTAAAACAGTACTATGATTTGACCCAGCAATCCCACTACTGGGTGTATATCTAAAGGAAAATAAATCTTTCTACAAAAAAGATACCTGCACTTGTATGTGTATTGCAGCACTAGCACTATTCACAATAGCAAAAACATGGAATCAACCTAGGTGCCCATCAACAGAGGATTGGATAAAGGAAATGTGGTACATATTTCCACATTTGTATTCCATGGTACACCATGGAATACTAAGCAGCCATAAAAGGAATAAAATCATGTGTTTTGCAGCAACATGGATGCAGCTGAAGGCTATTATCTTAAGCAAATTAACACAGGAATAGAAAATCAAATACTGCATGTTGTCACTTATAAGTGGGAGCTAAAAGCTGGGTAAACATGGACATAAAGAAGGGAACAATAGACATTAGGGACTATTAGAGGGGGAGGGTGGGGTGGGGTAATGGGTTGGAAAACTACCTATCGAGTACTATGCTCACCACCTAAGTGATGGGATCATTCGTACACCAAACCTCAGTGACATGCAATTTACCCATGTAACAAAACTGGTAACCCCAAACCTAAAATAAAAGTTTAAAAAAAAAAACACAAAAAATCCA